TATTTATGTGGTAATACCTACTATATATTCAAATTTTATTTTATAGACTTTCCATATACATACCCTTTATATCAGACATAATATTTATTATCTTATAATACACACTGATTATTATACTATACCTGTACTGTGCAATTATATATATNNTGTGTTGTACGGTGTCCTCGAGTGCCCAGAGAGGCGCCTTTAAATAAAATGTATTATTATTATTATTATTATATATAATGTCTTAATAATACACAATGTTAAGACTGTATGATACCTTTACTGTGAAATTATATATATGTATATATGCTACACTCAGTGGACCTGCTCAGTGTCGCCACTTAAATAAATGCATGGTTGCAAGATAAAACTTATAATGATTTTGATAAACCTTTTAAGCTGCTTTATTTTGATGTGTTGTGTTGACATAAATAACGTGGAAAAACTAGTTGGAACAAGTTAATCTTTATGAGTAGCCTAATCAACTTAAAAACATGTGTTTATGCTTATTTTTTGCTTATTCATCTGTGAAGCATTTGAACCTGTGTCTCAGGTTTAGTCCCTCTTGAAGAGTCTTACCACCATCATGGACGTGAGCTTGGAGGCTGGGACGGGATATGAACTGCATGCAGCTCGTTCAGTGTGTTTCTTTCAGTTGATTTGAGGAACAGGAGCATTTTTCATTGTTCAGACACAAATCACCCCACGTAGTAAACGTAGTCAAAAGACAGCATATTGAGTTGTAACTGATGACGTGTCTTGTATTTGCAGCCATTAAAGCCCCAGTGTGAAACACTGAGGAGGATCTATTGTCAGAAATGTGATAAAATACTCTGTAATAATTACCTGAATATAAGAATCGTTGTGTTTTTGTTAGAATGAGACCATCATGTTTGTTGAAAATAAAATGCTACATCTCAAGGGGCTATCCCTTCATTAAACTAATGTCCATTCACCACAAACACAGCCAGCAGAGCTTCACGTCTGCATGTGGAGGACTGAGTGCCGTTAGTCATTCATTAACCACTTTCTTGCTGCTACATGTCAGCACAGCCTTGATGTCAGTGTGTTTTTCTTATCAGGCAGCCGTCGGCCTGCTTTGTTTTCTTCAGTTGCAGCACCTGACGCATTCCCATGCACCGACAAAAACACAACGTGTCACTGCAAAGACATTTCTGACAGTCTGTAACTGCTCCTGTGAATCCTTCCTAACACATAATGAATGACGGACATTACATTATGAAATGGTTGTACGCAGGGGCGTTTCCAGACTTCTTTGACTCAAAGGCACCAGTGGGGCACTGACTAATGCAGCGGTGTCTCAGCCTTCCATTTCCAATTTATGCAATTCTAACCCTGTTTATGGAGCCCAGTATGCAGAAATATAAAAAAAAAAAAAGTTTATACTACATCCAAAGACCTGCATGGGATTAGCATAAAGTTTCTGCAGGAGGGGGTTGTGGGTTTACATAGAACCCATTTTCATTCAGGTATCTTAAGGTCAGAGTTCATCTCTTTGAAAATGACCATGCCAGTTTTTAGCCCCCTTCCCAACACAGTGACATCTGGTGGATTTGTTTAGCAGACACCAACTGAGTGAGCACACGGAGGACCAAGAGAAATGGTTGAGAAGGTTGTTGAGAAAGCTTTTATTATGTTTGCTCCCTTATGTTGTGTACAGAATTATATATACAATATTTGGGTCCTAAAGCCTAGGGATTGTAAAATAGTGACCTCAATATCAGACAAAACCACCAGGACAAGTTTGTAAAATGTTTGTTACCCCCCTGTCTAGGGGGAAGGAGCGAAACTTAAATGTAAGAAGAAAATAATAACCAATAATACTTCCCCGATCCCCAAACCAACAATGGACACAGGTTTAACAACAAGTGAAGTGATTTATTTACAAATGGGGAAAAAGTGCAACAAAAACCAGGAACAAACTTCAGGGTGAACCGAGGCCAAAACAACAAACAAAACAGATCTAACTCTCTCAAACAAAATGCTGACTACCGGTAATCCCTTTTTAACATACAAAAAAAAAGGGAGTAAAACAAAAGACATTCACTAACCTAATGAAAAACAGGAGAAAGACAGCACAAAAGAAAATGGCAGTTCACCCCTACAACACCCACTATATACAACTATACAAAAAAACAATATAATACTAACTCCACAACTCGCCAACCACAACGCTATTACAAAACAGAGATCTCCCGCAAGACAGGCGGCACACTAGAAAAACAGGGACAAAATACAAAGCACACAACAGACGAAAACCAAATAACAATACGGCCAGGGCCGTAACATGTTCGTATATAGGTTTTATAAAGCTAAAACAGCCTGGGGTCACATTTACATCAAACAACTCTAATGAGTATAAAATGTGTACGTGGAAAATATATCATCATGTTAATGTTATCTTTACCCAGTTTCAGAAATGTCATTAAATATAAGGCACAAACTATTATGTCAATCTTTTATTCACAGACGTTAAATACTGAAGGTTTGCAGTTCATACAGTTTCTTGCTTTGGCTTCACATTAATTTCAGTTCTTTGGAGAGGCATGGATCCACCTCACAGAGAGCCGCGATCAGGACCGAGCTGGCTTCAGCTCCCTTTTTTCGCGCAATGTCATTGACATCTCGCGCTCTCTCTGCTCTGACTTTTGATTTGGCTGACTCCATTTCATCATCATTTATAATGCGATGGTGGAAGAGTTTATCCAGGAGCAGGTTCAGAACAGGTTCAGACACTCTTACTACAAACTGTGTCCGGATGGAACGCACCCTCTCCTCCGCTGGGACCCTCTCCTCTATTGGGACCCTCTCCTCTATTGGGACCCTCTCCTCTATTGGGACCCTCTCCTCCGCTGGGACCCCGTCCTCCGCTGGGACCCCGTCCTGTACTGGGACCCTGTCCTCTACTGGGACCCTGTCCTCTACTGAGACCTTCCTCTGTTGATTTTCCCTCCTTAGACCTGGAAGACAACCAGGGAGAAGACATTTACTTACTAAAAATCACTTTTTGTGTTTTCTTTCTGGTTTCTTATCGAACCTGGACGTCTTGTTGAACGAGCCCCCAAACAAACACGAACTGGGGAGAAGTTACCTACTGACGTCAGTTTGCAGGTTATATAGCTAATTAGCACTCTTAGCATGCTCTTACACTGACACGCCCCTCTAGCCAGCAGGGATGAAAAAAAGATATTTTTTCTTTCTTTCAACAATACATTAATAATAAACTATTTAAAAATACATTTAAAACGTAGTTGACAATGTTTTTTAATGAAAAAATACAGCAAATGTGACTACGATAATAGTGGGACAATCAAGTGTCTGTGGTTAGTTCACTGTCTTTACTAACAATGTCTGTATCTGCAGCTTTTTTCAGGGCTCACAAAGTAATTGTTTCAATTTGTCTTTTTTTTAACGTTTTCTATTATTCAATTAAATTCAGTTTATCATCAGCTAATAGTTAATCTATCAGCTGCTGTAGTCCAGCTGACTTTTTCTGACGATATGGAAAGTAAACTTCATTTTCTTCGAGCAGGACAGATAAAGACATGCTGAATGAGAAGTTACTCACAGCGAGGACATAAGAAAGGAAAACCCAGGTGGGTTTTATAAATGTCACTATTTGTAATTTCATAAAATTCCCAGTGGTGGATTTGTATTCAGTTGTTAAATACTTAAATAAAGAAAGAAATTATATGGAGCAAATGTGAAGGTTTCTGAATGTGCAGAGTCTATTACATTTGCTGCTGCAGGAGAGTAAAGCATTTACCTGTCAGATACATGACATGTTTCAGCACTTCTTTCTTCTCTTGGTCCTGGACCATCAGAGTGACTTTGTGTGGGTTTGTCAACAGGAAAACTTCAAACGTTGGACTGAAAGTGGGTCCATACTCTGTGTGAAATGGTGCACGCTGAAAACCAGAAGCAACGCATAATTTTTCTTTCCTTACTGAATGTGAATGTTTTCAACATACAGCCAAGATTGTATTCATGATAATTCTGTTTAAAAACATTAGTAATGTAGAAGTGACTTGACTCACATCAGGCTTTATTGTGGTGCCCTCAGGTTCACAGCGGACACTGTAACTTTCACCAAGGTTGAGATGACAGAAAGTTGAGAAGATCCTGATGTTCTCAGCATCTCCTTGTTGGGCGGCAACCTTCAGTAACAGGACATTTTCCTTATGGACTTCATGCTCAGAAAGTTATCAGTTTTATTTATAGAACAACAACAGATGTGATTTACAGAAATAGTTAAGACCAAATAAAGACACAGACATAGTTATGGGGATATAATTAAATAAATAAAAAAAGCCTAGAATAAATTTAACAGTATGTGGGCAGTCATATCTTTCACAAAGGATTTATAAAATTTAGTTGGGTGCTAATAAATATTATATACATTATATAAAATAATATTATTTCTATCTACAGAAGGAGCAAACCAAACTCTGGCTGTAGGGCTTTTCACATTGTTAAAGAGTTATGCAGCTGTGTAGGTTTCTCCTAAATTCTTGGTAGGGGAGTGTGATGCAAGGGGTATGCAATCTACAATCTCACCGCTATATACCACTAAATCCTACACACTGGACCTTTAACCAGTGCAGTATCTTGTGACCTTAGACTGATGCTAAACAATGACAGATAGCTTTACCTCATGCAGAGGGATGTTGCCTTGCAGCAGGAATACGTCGAGTACTGGGTGTTCTATGTCCAGAGGTCGGATGGACAGCAGAACTTGGCCAATTACTGGCAGTGAGATGTTCAGAAATCTTTTAACGTAATCCCAGATGAGGCCAAAGGCAGAGGGGTGAGAGACCTTCACAACCACATGAGTGTCTGTAATCTCCAGTGGCTTTAATACGCTCATTCCATCATCAGTGATGTGGAGGACAGACAACAGGCCATCAACAAGCAGTACTGTGAAAGCAAAGAGCTGTTAACCTTTTGTATTACTGCTGAAACAGGTTCCTCTCTGCCTAATTAAGTTCAGATAGTTCAAATTAATCTATTATCATTAACTCTGGAGCATCCCAAGGATGCAGCTAATTTTAACAAAGTGCTCCACACTCATATAAAGCCTGTCAATTATACTTGTTCATTGTTATCATTGAAGATAACTGTTTACCATCCGTTGTTTCACAGTGTGGGAGGTGGAGCTGACAGACAGCGTTTTCAGAACACTGGATTTTGAACAGCGGCCCTGCAGCCATCTTCCCCTCTGATTGGAGGAGGCTCTCATCCCATTGGACAGTCCTGTACAGCAGCTCCGCCTCCTGAGCCATAACAAACACCAGTTCCGTCAAAGCACACTTGAACACACCTGGACCAGGACACCTGAACCTGTAGGACAAAGGAGAAGGGCTCAATTCATATAACAAGTATTTTTCAACCTGGACCTTATTTTCCGATGTTTCAAGGTGACAAATGGGAACAGCAAGTTTTGAATTTAGTCCAGTATTGAGTGAGAAGGCTGCAACCTGAAGTCACAAAATGGGCTACCATGTAGCCACACAGAAGGTTGTAGCTTTTACTGGCTACACTCAAAATCCAGTGGAGCGGAGCACAATAATTCATTTACGGAACAGAAATATTTGTCAGTGGTCTGGGAAAAATGGCATTACCACTTAGAAAGAAGAATTCATTCGTTCATCTATGGTCTGGGGCGTCAAAAACCTAGTACTCGTCTGATTTAGTGGGCACCCAGGTTGCAAGAGTTCTTGTTCTCAGCTGAGTATTGGAAATGGATATTCAATTTAGTTCCTGATGCCCTGTCTAGAACTCCTGTGGATACAGCAACCTGTCAGTTTCCCACTTGAAATGTCCAAGGATTTCTAAGCATTGGATGAAGCCATCTGGAAAGCTCAGCCGCTCAGACCAATCTAGCAGTGATACGTTGATTACAACTCTGTGCCTTCTGTTATCCAGAGATAGTCTTCAGTACCCGGGGACTCTTTCAGCTCTGCTCCTCTCTTCAGCAGTACAAACTTGGACAATAACAAATCTGCAGACCATAGTATCAATCTAGAATGTAAGCAGCACAATCTCTCTAAAGATTTACACACTATGCATCTTATGTTATGTTATGTTGGTGGCATTCTTCCCAAATTGATGAGATTAGCATGATGGTATATAACAGTCAAGGAATTGTGTGTTTTCCACAAACATGGTTGGATTCCCTCAGTGGTAAAGAAACTGAAAATGATGTGGAGGCTGAGTATGCGTTTATATTATTTGTTTTAATAGCAGACTGAAAATCATTAGCTGTTTAAAATCACAAACTTAATGAACCATGAAAGAAGTTGGAAAAGTCATTTTATAATAATACCTGTATGAAGATTCAGCTGTGTGTTCAGGTGAGAAGGATAATGGAGCCTGGAATTAAAAAGTCACAAAAGAGTTCTTTAACAGAAATGTCCAAAGTGTTTATAAAGTGATGAAATACTTTACCCACACTGTCGATATTCCACTCAAGCACATTGTATGAATCACAGAACACATGGTATCAAAGGGCTGACAGTGTAAAGTGTGTTAGAAAAGGCTACACAGAGGTCCAACTTTGTGAAGTTAGAGGGTCTCAATAAATGTGCAAAAACACTGATTTACTCAGGCAGCAGCTTATTACGTAGTCAGCTCCTGGACTGATCCTGGTTCTACCAGCAATCTATATCAAATTAAGCTGCCACTGAACTCCACATGGGAAAAGATTAACTATTAAATTATCACATTGCTGTCTTAAGGCTATTTAAAAAAAAAAAAGTCCAAGTACCATCTTGTCATAACTGGAGGACTTCACACTGTCCAGCGGCTCCTTTCTTGTCTCAATGTCATCATTGAGCAGGTTTTCTTTCACATTCAGTTTGACATCAGAGTTGTCTTTTAAAGAGAAAGAACAATGATGGAAAAAATAGTCACCAAAATGCTTCAATATTTTACAAACAGTTCTAACATAATGGAGCTGCAAAATTCTTTTGTTGTACTATAAACATGTGCTCATTTTAAGATAGTTGTACAATAGTTCAACGAATGGGGAACTTTGTTTCAATACTCACGTTTTCTTGGTTTGTCAGTTGGGATCATTGTGTTATCGATGCTGCAAAGATCAACACAATACCAAAAGTTATCGATCAAGTTTACAATGATTGTTCATCCTTTAAGCTAGCCAGCTTCCAAGTCCTGACACAGTCCAACTGATCAAATGCTTTGTGTTGCATATCTTCACTGCAGAGACTACAACTAACTAGTACCACTCATGTTCTCTGTCTGCATTACACAAAATAACTAGTCATTAATCTAGATCACTCTGTCCATATGTCTGATGAAGTTACAACTAACTGTAATAAGGCTGCTGTGCCTTACACTGACAGCCTGTATTGTAATGCTTGTGGAAGAATGAAAGAACACAGAGAAGAAATCAAACACAAAATAAAAAGGAGAAACTGCCTTTAGCGGGTCAAATCACTGAGTTGCTGTTCTAGGCTACATCTGGGCAGAAGGCAGGAACCCAAAGCTCGAATCCCAGTAGAAGTACCTCTGTATAGTTGGCTGTGAAGGTTCTCATCCTTGTTGCTCCACTACAGACTCCTACTGGTTTGTTGGGGTGCTCTCATAATTGAAGGCTGAACTGGAGGGCTATCTAATAGTAATCAATTTACCTCCTTGTGTTTAGTACAATACTGCTGAAACCAGCATGGACTGACTCCAACCCTCTACTGACCTCAGAGTCTCCAGTCTACAGTGTGGACTCTCCAAAAGGTCAGACAGCAGCTTCACTCCTGAATCCTGCAGCTTGTTGTTACTCAGGTCCAGCTCTCTCAGATGGGAGGGGTTGGACTTCAGAGCTGAGACCAGATAATCACAGCTGATCTCTGACAAACTGCAGTCCCTCAATCTGAATAAAGAATAAAAGATGTGAAACAATAAAAATCATTTATAATCCAATCAGTTGTGTATCAGGTTTGTGGTAGTTCAACATTACTGTCATTTTTTTTTTATGTCTAAAATGAGTTGAGTGATTTTATTGTTATTGTGGATAATCCAAATGCCACTAGCAACATTCATCACACCTACTCATGTTATAACAGATTAATACCATGCTGCTGATCTGAGTCAAGTCTGGGATTAGAGGAGAAAGACTTATTATATGAATATGCTGCATTTTGAAATATGCTTGTATCTTTCCTTCGCTCTATAACGTGTTTGGATGTGTGTGTTCTTAAAGCTCAATGTCTATAATACTAAAACAACTTTATGCAGTCCTCCAGGATTTCACAGAGCTTTTTTTGGATTGTTGCAGGCTAAAAAAGTCTGCTTTCCCCCAAAAATTGCATCTTCTTAATTTTTTTGCAAAGATTGGCAGGAGAAATTGAAAATTGCAAAAAAATAGTTTATTTTTGTTTTGTGTGGGGTATAAATTAAAATCAAAGGAACTCATTCCAGTGAGTTGAATT